GCCCTATCCCGCACCTATACGGGTAATGGGCGCGACATCTTCGACATATGATGTGTGGTAGAAGATGCTCGTGAGAGTCCTCGACGGTTACTCATCAAACGTTGGAAAGGGAACTTTCCTAACATGAGTTCTAGGGGGGAGGTGAGTGCCCGCTCGCGGCTGGAGGCTAGTGAACCTCATCTCCAATTGGCGTTGGCCTCTTAGGGGCAGCGACTCCGCTAGCGGGTAAAGGGATACAGGGCTGCGGTAATCCATTCATGGATGCATTGCAGCCCTATTATGAGGCACTGGACGGCTTATGCTGTTCCGTGATCCTCGCCTGCTTCTGTACGGATCCAAGCGTTCGAGGTGTCGGGGCTTGCGGTCCTTCCGGGCTCTAGTATCCGAGTCTAGCCTTGGAGGGCACCAAGGCAGACGCTTGAGGTGTCGGAACCCGGTTGGACGGAGCTACTAGTATCCGAGCTTAGGACCCCGGCCGGCCACTTCCGGGACCATATTCCCAATTGATTTGGCATGGTTGGTGGGGGCAGGTGTGCGACGCGAGCACTCTCTGGCGAAAGAGGAGCTTAGTTACCTTGTACGAACGTTCGGTCGAACGCTGCCGATGGTCCTGTCTCTTGGTTAGCCACACTAAGTAGATGTAAGGAAGCAATTCCGGGTTCGGTGAGCGGGAGGAAGCCCTGCGAAATCCTGTTGGTGGGCGGTACCCGCAAGGATTTCCCGAAAATCCACCCCTCCACACCCGATCGCATCCAACGCCAGGGTACGTTAAGAATTTGAGAGAATATTCTAAAATATGCATTGTAAAAAATTATCCAATTTGATTGTATTTATGGCTCAGTATTTTGCATATAGTGGCTACCACATAGGAGGTAGGTATATGCTACCGCGGACTTCCATTTGGAACTTTCTTAGATAACGGTACATTATTTTCATGTATCTCTAACGGTATAGGCAGCGCACGACAAGACAGCTCTCTCAGGGAGCAAGAATTTTTCCGACTGACTTAATACGTATTGTTATATTATGAACAAAATCACATAAAACTTTTGTAAATTGAAGCCTATATATTATTCTGATGTATAAGCTGTATTTATGTGAAGTTGCATCTAAATCCGTTCAGTCGTTTGGGTGTGAAAGAGTCACAAACATACATATATACATTTATCCATACTAGCGAACTTCCACATTTATAATATTAGTATAGAGTAGAGATATAGATTTTTGGTTATTATTCATAATTTTAATACTCATTTCAACCGTAGGATTCAAAAATTCATTTTAATTTCTGTAACTCACATGAAATCATGATAAATGCCCACCTTCATTGTTCGGAATAATAATAATGATAATGATAAACTGTCATTATTTATACTGGCGGAGTTCAGCTGACGCTAATCTTTCACTCAAGCAGTATAATGTACATTTCACAAATTAGTATATGGTTATGACACGAAAATAAATGAAAGTTATTGAAAGGTGAGTCTCACAGATTTTTGAGACCATTCATTTGAATTTCACTGAAAAATTTCAAAGGAATTTACTTGGTTAGAATCAGACATGCAAAATTAAATTAGTAGGATTATGGTGATGTATGTTGGAATTTCAAGATGAATCATTCTGTTAACGTTTTCAACTTCCTTAACTTCGGAAGTGTGAAATGCTTTTTTTCAACACACATTTCACTCACCGCTTTATGTCAGATGCGGGATAACAAATGATGATTATTTCAACACAGATAAGTTTAATGGTCTAATCTTTGGCGGTAGATGGCGAATCAGAGTTTTGGTTTGGAAAAGTATTTGTTTCATATTCAATCTAAGGTTCTGCTGAATCCAAAATGTTTCTCGAATCAGGAAAGTATATGGTTGGTTAAATTAAACGAACAAATTCAAACAAGTGAAATGTATTTCAATTTCTGAATGTTTTTCATTTGTTTTATGAGTTACTATAATGAAAGTGTAACTGATCGCGGTCTGTACAGGATGTCCCAAATATTCGAAGGTGTCCATGGAAATCTCGAAATCCGTGAGAGATACAGGGTCGGTTAAATGAAGGTAAAGTTGCCTATTCTGAATACTTCAGGTAATACCCTGAAAAAACCGAAAATGCAAGATTTCGTTTTCTTTTTATTCTGATGTTATCAAACCTCTATTGAAAAATAAAAATCTTCTCTCATAGCATATTTTGCAGTGGTTTTGAATGGGACGTTTTGCTCTCCAGAACTCATCATCAGATTTTTTTTTATACCGACCGATAGAATGAAATACACTGTATTCGATAGAGCTTCCCAAAACTAAGTCAATTATATATTTCAACCCATTATATTAGAATCATTCTTGAAAAGAAATTATTCAGATAGTTGGACATGTAAAAAGAGAAGAAGGGTAACTGACTAAAATGAAAAGTGTCTTATACCACAATAATAACTTGTAATTGAAACGTGATTCCTGACGAAAATTTTTTATTCAGACATCCACAAAATCGTGTTCTTTTAGATTTCTGATTTAATCAAATTTTTAAAACAAAAACGACTTTGAAGTGAGTAATGAAAAATTGAAACTTTGAACATTCAAACTGTAATGAAGATGTTAAAACTGTGAACATGCTACTTCAATGCATTTTGCACTAAGCCGACGTTATTCCAATTTGGAAAGTTGAAGGAACTTAGCGGGAATTCACCTGATAAAATTGAGGCCTAAGTGGTTGATTCCATCTGATATTTCGCAGTATACACGATTTATGAGGTGACTTCATGAAAAATAATTCAGAAGACTCTAGTCTGGACTTTCACCAGGCCAATGCACAGGTCCTAGTCTTCTAATACACTTATTTGGGAACATTTCATCCAAATTAGCTGTGAACTATTCTCCATTATGGTGAATGCACCATCTTGTGGCCACTATAACTTCCTTCGAATATTAAGAGGATCATCTTCGAATTGTATGATGTTGAATGTTGACGCTATATATCTTTCACAAGGTAAATTATCCTTGTATATTACAGAGTCCATAATTTGGTTGCACCACATTCCTACCCACACATTACAAAAGTTCGACCCTATGTGGCCTGAATTCAGCATCTTGCCTTGCATTTCCTACCGCCTAATAGAGCTTTTTGAAAATACAATCAGTAGAAAAACTGCACTAGTTGATCGATCCTTGATGTGAATTATTCACCTCAATATTGACAATGGTGAAATTAATATACTTTTGATAACATTCTAAGACTTATAGAATTCAAAATATTTTGTTCTTCCTCTTCATTTGTTCGCTGGCCATACTTTTATCTGGTTTTGTCAAAACTTCCCAATTCCAACAAAGTTCGGCAAAGTGATATTCATAGGCTGCAATTATTCATGATATTGGTTGAAATATTGCTTACTAGAAATTCTAGAATTTCGACTTGGCATGGCAATAAAAAAATTGTTATTTTCGACCAAAAACCATTTTTGAATAATGAATTGTAATATATCGTTGGAATTATTTTGAAATGATCTATCAAATACAGGATATTTCATTATATTGGTCCTGATAAAAACAAAGCTAATGATGGTTTTTGAAGAACGAAGAAATTCGAAATTGGGCACTGCATGTTGTAGGACGAAAACAGTTGCAATGATAAATTTTGTTTTTGTGCTTCAATAGCGCTTCAAACAACGTAAACAAGGAATATCATAAAAACAAAATCGTGCATTTTTGGTTTCTTCAAAATATTTTGGAATCTTCCAAATTCTCCAGATTTCAAAACATCATTATGCAATTTTACCTTAATTCAACGACCCTGTATCTCTTACGGTTTCCAGGATCTCAATGGTTACCCTCGAATTTTGGATACCCTGTACGTAGAATATATTTGGGAAATACTGTTATTAGTAATCTTTATTGAAGCAATCAAACTTTTGTCTATTTTTCAGTTTGTCTTCGCGTCTGTGCGCGCTGATTTTGAAAATGATAATGGATATCTTAATACTGATGTATTATGATTAGCTCAGCTTGATTCATTTCATTCGGTTCAACCAATTTTTGCCAATTAATGAATCATATCAAATATTTGTGGAAATGTACTGAAAGAATCATGTTCAATTATTTTGGCAGCTAGGCATGGGATATATGGAAAAATACATAAACTGAAATGATTGAGTTGTTTGGCACAGTTCGTGCAAGAAAAATTCCCTTGCCTCACCTGAAACATGTTATGAATGTAGAAAATAGTAAAAATGCCCATAAAACCATTCCAAAAGTAAATACCTTATAAGGCTTCTAACTACTAATATCATTAGTAAACTGGGATCCCGAAAGCTTCAACAAACAATATTCATCCCCTATTTCTTGCTAGAGAGCTTCCACTAACCAGGTAACTATATTTTATAATATTAGGGCCCAAAAGCGTCAGCCATATAGAAACATGAATTCAACGGTTTTAAGCTCTGGTGTCACCCAATGAAATTGTAATAGGTCCTACGAACCAATAGAACCACTTTCTCAAAAATGTTTGTAGTTATTTTCTCTATATAATATGTACACTGTATATTTCAAATCATGAAAATCAATTGAAAATAATTTGAACTACAGAAAAATATTTTTTCCTAATTTCACCTTCATCTACAGTGAACAAAATACTCATCAATGAAACATTTCAAAATGGTGTTTATCTGAATTATGTTATGTATAAGACAGATGAGTCCAAAGCATTGCAATCGGGATTCGGAATTTGGCTTTGGTATCACCCACTAGATTCATTTTATTTGGATTTCGCGAATTTTGGAACTAGTATGACCACGGTTAGTACAACTCGCGACATTCATGGCGGATCATGAATACAACATATTATTTGGGTACTGTAATCATCCAGTTTCCCATTTGCGGTGGAAACTCTAGAAAGATATTTGAAGATCAAAGTTATTGGTAATATCCATTTGTTACAAAAATTTACTTTTTTTTTTAAATGTGAATGATCTTATGAGCTACATATTCGTAATTCATTGAGTTACTTTGTAGGACTTCGACCATTTCGTTGATCGAGGATTCTACAAAACCACTCACGATCCCCTATCATACACTATGTTCACTATGGATGGAGCAGACTGGAAAAAAAGTAGGATGGCCTTTTCCCCTTCTTTCACCAGCGGAAGAGTTAAAGCAATGATTCCGTTAATTTCGTCAGTCAGTGAACTTATGATAAAAGAAATTGGCGATTTGGCGACTGAAAATGCTGATTTGGATATTAAAAAGGTGAGATCTACTGAAGAGGTTCAAAAATTATCAGATACAATGATACAATTGATTCAATCAATCGATGTTGCTAAATGTACTGTAGGGTTTTTTTGCTAATTACGGTACGAAACTTCAGAGGGTGATTCGTTAAGTGGTTTTTTGAAAAAGTTCTCATGATGTCCGGAGTTGCTTCGTTCCTGAGATACAGGGCGTTGAAGTTTGAAGAAATATTCTTACTCCGATTTGTTTGAAATTTGCTTCAGGTTTTTTAAGTCATACGGCACTCGTTTAGGCCTAACTAAATTGAAATTCAGGGAAAAAATACCACACTGATTTGTTGTTCTAGGTTTTCATTTTTTTAAACTATCCAACTGAAATACAACGTTTTCGTCGCTTGTGTTTTCTTCATATCAAGTTTCGTTTTCGAGAAAAAATATTGAAGAAACTTTGTATATCATGAAAACCTGCTTTGGAGACTAGCTGACAGTGATAATGTTGTCTTATCAGTGAACGTACAGTTGTCAGTTAGCAGCGATTTCATCATGATTGATTTAACTAACGTTGAAATGGCTGACATGCACAAACTATACGTGATGCGATGAAAGAAGATCCTTCAAATAGTATCAGGAGAGTTGCACTGCAGCTGGAAGTCACCCCAAAAACCGGATGGAGAGTTCATATATCATATATATCATATACAGCGTGTCCAAGCTCTTTTGCCTCCTGATTTTTAACCGATCGAATCCAATATAATACTGTTTTCGAGTCAGTCCAATAAATTGTATTATCAATTTTTAAGTTCAAAACCCTTTTTAAGCTGGAACCCAGCCGTGATCCAATTAATGCTGCCTGTAGTTCAAGTCTTGGTATAGATAGTGGTTTTATTGGTGATACTCTGGTTCGTGCATTCAAAAAACAAACTTTAATGCCATCTTTTCCAGACCATCTCAAATATGCGACACTTGCATACCCATTTTCAGAGGCATCACAGAAGATATGAGTAAGTCATCTATGTCTTGAAATAAAATCGGGTTATTGGAAATCCAATTACATATAGTGAATCCACCTTTACTATGTACATATATTACGTCCCTCATCAATTGTTTTGCCTCCTGGACACTATCTGCTCCCCCAAGATAATCATCCATATAATGATCATTGAAGATGGCTTTGACCGCTTCAGGATATTCTTCTTGGAATTCTTTGGCATTTCTGTTCTTGTCCTTCTGGGCTAAACACGGGCCACACGATGAACCAAAAAATACCACATTTATTTGATATATATCTGGATCATCATCTCTTCGCATTCCTCTGTATAAAATTCTCTGTGCTGATCTGTCTTCTTTCCGGACATTCACTCTCAAAAACATTTCTTTGATGTCTGCTGAAAAAGCATATCTTTTGATTCTAAAATTCAGAAGAATTGTTTGAAGTGAATTGTACAAATCCAGTCCTGTTAGCAGAAAGTCGTTTGAGAAATTACCATTACTTTTCGAAGAGGCATCAAATACGATTCGTAATCTATTGGGTTTGTTTGGATTCATGACACCGAAGTGTGGCAAATACCAGATTTTTCCGTCGTTGAGATTACCTTCTGCATTAGAAATTTTCGATATATAATTTTTCTTAATCATGTCTCCAAACTTTTCGAAATACATTCGACCAAATTCTTCATCTTTGTGCATTCTCCTTTCCGTACAAACGAGTCTTCTTACGGCATTTTTTTTACTTTCCGGTAAATGATGATTACTCTTTCTCCAAAGCAGACCTGTTTCAAACGTGTCACCTATTCTCCGCATTGTAGAATCCATGATCTCTTGAGCTCTAATGTCTTCTCTGGATAAAGATTGTCTTGAAGTAGGAAATGATTCCATTTTCCATTGTTCTTTAATCCGATCATGGAGAATGTCTACTTCATCTTTTTCTTTCAAATCCACAAAACAAACAAATTTATTCATATCATCATTACTATGATGTGAATTTCCGTGAACTACCCAACCTAACAATGTTTTCGTGAGTGCGGGTCCATGTCAAGGCCCCGAAACCATTTTCTTGCTTACCAACAATGGCCAATTTTCTTGACCAATCAAATCGATCATAGATTGTATTTTCTTGTCAATATAAGGATATTTTAAAGAAATATGATCAATATCGACAGTTTGTTTTGGCAATTGAAGATTTTTGATCGTTCGAACATGCCTCAAATAAAAATTCGAATTAGAATTACACGTTTTTGACGATATTTTGAAAGTAGCAATTCTTGAGTCATCCTGCTCTTCTGTCTGATCATTTGTCCATTGGATACATAAAGACTTTTGAAGACCATCAAGATCCAAATCATCAGCAAGATCTTTATCAATTAAAGTTATGGTACTAGCATCGTCCAAAAGAGCATATGTATTAATTTCTTTATTTCCATTCGAAATAAAGACTGGTAAAATTTTCAGTAACACTCATCTATTTGATGAAATATGACAATTGGTTTCAATATCAGTGACTGGCGTGCAATTTTTTGTATCATTATTACCATTCCAAGTGAACTCGTTTACCCATTTTTGAACATTCGAACCATTGTTAATCACTGACCCTGATCCACATGATGGAGACTCATCTTCCACTAATTGGAAGTCGAGAATCTCTTGTTCTTTCTTCAATAATTTCTGCTCCAATTCTTCCTTCTTGATTTCTGCCTGAATCAACAATTCTTTTTTGACTTTTTCTCAACGGGCGCTACTAGTTTTGGACTTAATCGATTTCCTTTCTTGAATGGAACCCTGCCGTGACATTTTCTTCTTGCTGTCAGCATGTGAGTACTTACAAGTGGAGTTTTTGTCATCAATGCCATTACTCTGCTCCAAATGTAAGCCACGAGAAGAAATATTGTCTTGTTTCCTTTCACTACTGATAGAAATCGCTTCCTTTTCCCGTTTTTCCGCTAATCTTTCGCTTCTTCGATTTTTTGACATGTCTCAATAAGTTGATTCGGTAAAGGCGTAGAAGGACTAATTAATGTTGTGTTTTACCTGAAATATCTAGGTTTAATCCGGTCTCGAAGAACGAAATATTGAAATTCAGTATCAGTCAAAAAAGTTTTTTTTATTCTGTTTGTTTTAGTTACAACAACTGAACATCAAACTAAATATAATTATATACAGGGTAAATGAGAGAGTAAACAAATAATAATGAATATAAATACTGAACCTGTCAAAAAAAAGCTTTTCTGCCATATGTGAATAATATTACTGACCAGATCGAAGGGTCTTCTTATCAGGTAATGACTCCTTCTCAGCTCCTGATGACGCTAACCCGATTGCGAAACGCACGTTGATAGACATTTTTTTTGCTTTGGTGGGAAAAAAGTCTTTTCATAAGATTTAATTCACGGCACAAGTTCTACACAATACAATATTCAGTGTTATCATTTGTTTATTCACCTGTGGTACTTTTTCTTTATTTATTTTCTAGTTAACAACCAAATTCACTATCAATTCGCTAGCAAGCTGTGCTCTAGGCATAGAACCTGGAAACTCGAGTAATACCGACATTTTTGCAAAGATGGCAAGAAAACAGTTTCATTGTGAGAATTTCACAAACTCCTTCAGGTTTACGGTTCTGAATAAATTTCCAGATTTTTGTAGTAAACTGGGTGAGTATAAACTGGATATTGTTTTGGATTCATTAAAAATATCATTTATCACATACGAATCACCTGATCTGATAAAAGCAAGTGAAAAGAGTTTAATGGACTTGGTTCTTTTTCAGTGGAATTTCTTTAATTTTAACATATACAGGGCGTAAGTGAATAAGTGCGACAAACTTCCGGATGTGATTGTGCATAGAAAAATAATGATATTTACTGTAAAACTTTCGTTCGCAAATGATTCGTAATTCGAGAAACAGGGTGTTGAAGCCTGTCTTCAAAACCTGTCAATTTATGTATTGCTCTAAAACCGGTAGAAATATGCCAATGAAACTTGGATGGCGTCAAGAGATTGTTATTTCGCATTCGTTAACAAGCAATGAAGCATTTCATATGGGTGATGATCTCAAAGTTTCCGAAAAAAAATGGTTCGTCACTGAAATATTTCAAACTGAAAATAATTTTTTATTCCCCCTTTCACGATATTTTCACTCAAAAAACGAAATTTGAATATTTCAACGAGTATTTTTCATTTTTTCAATACGTTATCTAGTAGCGACACTAGCAGTTATTTAGTTTCTTTATCGAAAAGGACGAGAAATACGAATGTGGAATTGTCAACATGCAATTTGCCGATGGTCCAAGTAATGGAAATTGTCGACAAAGTCTGCGATTGTATACTAAGTTGTATATAGAACGTAGGGTATCATATTTGCTTGTCTTCACCAACGTTTAGGAGAAAAAATATATTTGAGAAATAACGGCTGACAACGAGCTCTCTCAGACAACATACTGTGCAGCTAGAAAAATCAGTTTTTGAGTTGATTGCGAAGTCACCTGATATAGTCAGAAAAACTATTAACATTCGCTGAATCAGATTCTTAAAAATCGGCAATTATATCCTTTCATATCCAACTACTACCCAGAAAATTCATGTCTCGCCTAGCGTTCAGTAAATGTATGACTTGGGTTACTTCATTATCATTGGATTGGTCCATAGTTTCCACTACTACGGTCAACAGGTGGTTGTCACCTCAATTTCCTAAAAAAAAGTTACCTGTTTTTCTTGAAGGAATTTTCCAACAGCTGAGATAACAATTCCGAATCATGTATAGTGCACCAGCATTGTAGGAAATCGATTAGATACCAGCATATTCAAGTCGTTGTATAAGGTAAGGGAGATTCGGCACATCGGCCTGCTCGAACCCCTGATTTAAATCCCCTAGATCACTGCATTTGAAGTCATTGGTTAATTCCACTTCTATTCAGAACGTTGAGCACCTGACAAATCAAACTATAGCTGGATGTGATGTGAAGTGATAAAAAACTAGCATACATAAAAACTTATTTATGAGTATTTCCCTGTATTCACAGATTTTTTTCAAATTACAGGATTGCATTTGATGGATAGAGAAGTTGGTATGTTTTTCGAAACCATTCTGCAAGACAGCATTAAGTACAGAAAGGAGAACAATTGTACTCGTTCCGATATGTTGGAGTTGATGGTTAATCTGAAAAAGGATACAAAACTCAGTTCACGTCCTGTAACTGATAACCAATTGGTAAGGATTGATAGAATTTCATCAATTCAGCTATATAGCCTAATTATTATTACAAATGAGAGTATAGAAGTAGTTTAATACCTAATTTATCATAGTATAATTTCAATTGAATATTGAAACATACATACATACATAAACTTTCCACCCTCAATATCTTCTTTCCAGTAAATAATATGAGGAATCGAAAAAACAGGTCAACTTTATAGTCAAGGGGGACACTTTCAAGGGATATTTGTAGCTCTCGTGGTTCGACCCCCAAGGAGAGGTAGATGTTACACATAGAGTCCTAACTGGAACGGGGTGTCAAGTGGCACATCATTTTGATTGAAGTTCAATTCCGCTTCCAATGATACCCTGACGTTTTATTTTTTGATGAGCATGTAATAAGAATTTGCCTGTTATGAGATGCATTATTGTATTGACACCTTTGAATAAAAATGGTTAAAAGAGTAGGTGGCACCGTTTCAACCCTTGAATGACACGAATGAATGTATTGCGCGTGGGATTGCGCGTTGTTGGCTATTGTCCTTTTACAAAATGAAATTTAATTTGCAATAAAGTAATTTCAAACATAAAATCTACTCAGCCGTATCTTATAAACTATTCGAAATATCCATGATGCTCTCAACAGTAATAAACTTCACTAGCAATTGACTGCCTTTCGAGATAGTCAATTCCTGCTGACAGTCTTTTGAGACGTCTTTCAAGTTCTTCAATGTCAGAAGGTTGTGTTTCATGAACAACGGATTCAAGATTCCCCTAAAGAAAGAAATCTGAAGATGGTAGATCTGGTTATCTCGGAGGTCATTGAACTGCTTTCCGTCGGCCAATCCATCTATTTGGAAATCTCTCGTTTAACCACAGTCGGTAGGAAAGAAAGGGGCACCGTCCTGCTGAAAATGTAACATATCCTCCTGCATAAGTTCATTACCTTCTGCATCCATTTGAGTTTCCAGCTCGTGAGTTATGACAGGATCGATATTACCTTCAAGCATTTCAAGGAACATATTGCCAAACAATTTTTCTTCCAGAAATAATGAATCAATTTAAGGCATTTCCAAGAATACCAGCCCAATCATTAACCTTTCGTTGGTGTTGTGTTCTTCAAGAGAAAGATTAAACTTTCTCTAATCTTTATCTTAAAGATGACTACTTGGTGTCGAAGCACGTGTCGATGTGTTAAAAGTAATGGTTTGGTGTTGGCATAAACCTACAGTAATATTCCTTTAAGTACCAGCCTATTGGATAATTTTATTACATATTGAAAAATTGAAACAATAATGATCATGAGAGCGTTGGCAAATTGTGCTATTCAAGCCTTTTACGTCCTCAGTTTGATTCGAATATAAAAATAGTCATTTGAAATAGTTGTTAAATTATTTATACAATTGAAGTCCAGTGAAAAACTCTACTCTTCCGTGCCTAATGGTCCTGTACTATTATATTTTTTATTTTTCAGACAGCTGAACTATTGAATTTCTTCATCGCTGCTCTGGATACTTCCCCCAACACGATTTCTTTTACATTATTTGAATTGGCAAGAAATCCTGATATACAAGAGAGGGTGAGAGAAGAAATAGAAGAAGTTTTGATTGGAAATGATGGAGTGTTGAATACAGATTGTTTGAAACAAATGAAATATCTTCTTCAAGTTATAAACGGTAAGGTGGAATTTTGATATGAGGGTTTGGTTAAACGAATTCATTGACAGACATATATTGTTATACGAAAATGAAACACTGGTGTTATTTTATCATATTGCATATGATAGGTATTTCAAGAAAGATCTTTCTCGGTTTGCATGAACTTATAAACATTTTAAATCACTTCATGTCCTTGACTTTATCGTGAATTGCTTTCTTGGAACTCCTGTAAATTAGTATATTCAACAAGAAAATAAACAAATTATTGCCAATGACTCCTTGTGTTCAAGTAACACTCCTTTGTAAGATTTTTGTACATTCTATAAACCTCTTCATCAAAGGAAGCGTACCATTGTGAAGATATTTGGAGATGTTGAAAATTAAAAGGGATGAAGTTTCACAGACAAGTATAATACTTTCAGAAAATTATTGAAAAAATGGAGTTCAGGTGGAGAAAAGCAGAAGACAATAGAAAAGTGTTAATCGAGAAATTTGATATCAAATCTAAACGCGTTGAATATTCAAGAAAATTTCCCAAACGGTACCAAAAACTTCGGACGGTATCAATTGAAAATTTTCAAATTCTCCAGACCTTCAATTGACGCCTAGTGTATATCGCTTGAAACAAAGAAAAGCTCTCAGTAGACATACTGATATTCAAGTGAACAGTGCTGTTGTCTGTCAATCATGGCTACAAGGGGTTGTGTTATTTCTCCAAACAATTTTTGTTATATCTGTGGTGAATTCACCATTAAAAGTCAACAGAGAAAAATGAGTGATTTTGTAAGGAAAGTTTATTTTGCCTACTTTAAATTAAAAATTGGTGATCAAGGTGAACCATGGGCCCCGCATAAGGTGTGTGAAAGATGCGAAGAAGATCTTCGTTTGTGGTTTAAGGGAAATGAAAATGCATTTCGATTTGGAGTTCTTATGATATGGCGTGAGCAGAAAAATCACAACACTGACTGCTACTTCTGCTCAGCTGACGTAAAGGGATTCAATTCAAAAAACAAAGAAACATAAGTTATCCTAATCTTGACTCAGCTATACGTCCAGTGCCCCATAGCTCCGAGATATCTATCCCGCAGCCACCTTCCTGTTTGGATGAATACCCTAGTGAGTTGGAGGACGAAGCTACATTCCCTCCTCCGGGTGAATCAAGCTCAGATTTATCTTTTGACGAAGATGACGATTTATATCTTTCAAAAGATGCAGCCGAACTGTTAGGTTCTAGATTGAATGATAAAAACCTTTTATCACCTGGCCCTTCTTTCTACTGGTACAGACACCGAGAAAAAGAATTTACCCAGTTTTTTTCAAAAGAAGGAAATTTAGTTTTCTGCAATAATGTGGAAGAACTCATACATCGCTTTGATATAAAGTATGACTCATCTGAATGGCGCCTATTCATTGACTCATCTAAGACTAGCCTTAAAGCAGTATTATCGCACATTCTGTACATATGAAAGATTATAACGATTTGGCTATTATCCTGGAAAAAATCAAGTATCAAGACCATCAATGGATGATTTGTGGGGACTTCAAAATACTGACAAAGCTTTTGGGTCAGCAGACAGGTTATACCAAATATCCATGCTTCTTATGCTTGTGGGATAGCAGAGCCAGAGAACAGCACTGGAAAAAAAGTGATTGGCCATCCTGAGAAACTTTAAAACCTGGAGAGAAAAATGTTATAAACACTACCTTGGTACCACCAGAAAAGGTTTTGTTGCCCCCTCTCCATATCAAATTGGGGTTGATGAAACAATTTGTAAAATCGCTGCAAAAGGATGGAGGCTGTTTCAAATATTTCTGTACAAAATTCCCGAAGCTATCAGAAGCAAAGTTGAAAGAGGGAGTTTTCACCGGCCCCGACATGAGGAAAGTTTTAACGGTCCCTTCATTTGTGGAAACTATGAATGAGAAGAAAAAAGAAGCATGGGTATCGTTCAAGGACGTACTACGAAAGTTTTTGGGAAATACTAAGGATCCTAACTATAAAACCATTGTGCAACGGATGCTAGCAGCATATGAAGCTCAAGGCTGCAAGATGAGCTTGAAGGTTCATTTTTTACACTCTCACATAGACTATTTTCCTGAAATCGTGGGAGCTTACAGTGAAGAGCAGGGTGAGCGATTTCACCAGGATGTCCGTGATATTGAGAGAAGGTACCAAGGGCGATGAGATGTCACTATGCTTGCTGACTACTGTTGGCTGCTTAAGCGAGAAACTGAAGATGGAAATCGGAAAAGGACTCGTCAAAGTATCAAGGAAAAGAAGAAGAGGTTTTATAAAGAACATGAATAAGTATATGTATCAAAATAATGTTTCGTTTGCTTTAAAAAAATATTTATTGCTTGAAAATTTTGAATAAAGGAGTGTTTTAACCAATTTTTTGTGTTTGAATTTGCAAAAAATCCTTATGTGATAGAAAAAAATTGGCATCACTTTTGAAATCAGCGCACTTTAAAACATATAATTCAGTAAAAATATCTCATGCAGCTGACAAAAATTTTTTTTCGCAGACCTGTGTAATTGTTATCAGCTACTTCCTGTGAACTTTGAGTTGTGCATTAATAATTTTGGAATTCGTATGGTTCTGTGTTGTGGAACTCTCAGTCGCTATCTACTCGAGTATTTTCACCTTGAATAATTTCGGTATCATACAGTTCCTAAGAAATGTTGTGGTTGTCGTGAGGTGAATCTTTGCAAATTCTTTTGAAAATTGTTTGAAGTTCATCTAGTGAATACTCTCATTGGAGTAGGTCATGAAAAATACCGATTTTGTTTGAGTTTGGAAACGTTTTGTTTCTGTTGTTAATTATTATAGAAAACTTGGGAGTTGGCGAAAAACTTTCGAAGTTTGTTTTGGATAAATGGGAACCAGTTGTGATGTAATTATGTTTTGTGATGGATGTATAGGTGCTTTTATATTCACGAACGTGGAACTAGTGAGAGGCTTTGGTCATAATTTTGAAAAGAGTGTAAATTGTCTCCTTACATCACTAATTATAATGCTCAATCAAGAAGTTGAGGTCTTTCAAACCTGACAAAAATGTTTTTGAAGCTAGACTATTGTGAAGATTCATTTCTGAAAGTTTTGAAGCATTGTCTTCCTCACTCAAAGTTTCAAAGTGAATCAAGAATATTGAGGCATCTGCTATAAAACTGGTGAAGTTGTTAACTTCATCTCTGTTGAGGTAAGTCTCGTCTCTCTAATCCGCAAAAATTCTTTGACAGGTTGACATCAAAGTCATCCGATGTATTCAACAGAGTATTTCGAAAATTATTAGGACTTTTTACATCATAAAATGTTCTAATGATGCTATCATAAAGTGGGGTACAGAGTACATCTAGTGCAAATTGCCATTTTTTGTTCAGAAATTTCTCTAATTGATTCACTCATAATATTTGTAAATGGTTTGCGTTGAAGTAGTCAGCTAAAGGGAAATTCAGTGATAGATTTTCAAAAATTGAAGTTGAATATTCATATTGTTCTCGCATTGAATGAATTGCGGCTTTGAGTATTATCTCATACGAGCAACTTCTCGATCCACACCAGGAAGTATCTCCCGCGAATTAAGACAATATTCTCTTTAAACTTTAATGGTTCGTTGCTGATATGGTTCCGCCACGAATTATTTATAGATTGGATTTTCTGTTACCCACGGTGCCATCGATTTATTTGGCGAGTCTTTATCAAAAATCGATTTATTCGATCCAACTTTCCTTGATATATGGAAATACGTCTTTTTATTGGGAAAGTTTTAATATGAATGCCGCTAATTGCCTAGAATTGAAGAATAGAAGTCGGGTTACCTTCTGTTGTACGCTTTCGTAAACTCAGCATTTTTTTAGGAGGACCGTGTTGGACGTTGCTGTTATTCACATTTTACATAATTTATATGAACTGTCGCATTTTTTTTTGCCAAGAAATGAAATCTTCCAGGTCACATGTTATGCTATTTGGGAATAGAATTGTGAGAATGCTTTTAATAACCAACTCCATGTTGAAATGAATAAGGAATAATTATCGAAAACCTAAAGTGCGACACATCTAAGTAATAATTTCAGTGTGTATTTAGAAAACAAAGTGACCATTTATTTGAAAATTGTTTCACATGAACTCATCCGTGTGACGAAAACAATCATTATGAAGTTATTAATTTATCATATCTTAATTTTCTTCTCATTCAGAATGTAGGTATGTAATTTTCAGAATTGCTTGGTATTCAAAAAGAATCCATGAAGCGCATTCAAATAACATCTAATTTTTCATTTATTCTACAAAATAGAGTTACAACTTTTGTTCACTATATGTCCAAATCGAGAGGTTTGTGTCTCATTTTTTCCACTGGCCAAGAGAAGTTATGCTTATAACTGATAACTCTTAGTGTATGTGTTACGTTACAATACCGAACTTGAGTTGATTTTTTTCGAACCATAAGTTATTACTGAGAATTCACATTGATTCACAAGATTACTTTCTTCCAGAAACTCTCAGAATATATCCACCTTTACCTAATGTGGAAAGAAAGTGTTCAAAAGACTACAAGATATCTGGAACTGATTTGACCATTGAAAGAGGCACAAGTATAATTATTCCAATATATGGTATCCAAAGAGATCCAGAAAATTTTTCAATTCCAGAAAAGTTTGATCCTGAAAGGTTCAGCGATCAAAATAAAGTGAACATGAAATCTTATACATTTCTTCCATTTGGTATTGGACCAAGGAGTTGTGTAGGTAAGTGTTACTTTGTAGGATATGCAAAATGATGGTAAATTTCCAAAATTATGGAAAATAAAATTTCTTAATCAATATACGTCGCGACGTTTTGATTGTTAGCATACTTCGAGTAATGAAGATTATCACCTGAAAACGACTATGGATACCAACAAACATATTTTTCAATTGATTTCCATCTTTAAGTTTTCCATCATCTCTTCAAGTGAACTGAAACTTCATCAATTCCGTTTTTGAAATACACATTAGTATTTTTCAAGGAATCTGATTCAATCTTGGATGTGAAAATGGAATTTGAAATAAAAACTAACATTTTTTGATCTCCACTGTCTGAAACGGGAACGGAATCATTAGAACCTAGTCACCAATATCTCAATAATTCCTTTAAAATGTGTGATTAAATTGGCAAAATAACTCTTTTTCCAGGACTTCGTTTTGGATTGACGATGGTACAAATAGCTGTTATTGATATAATAAGGAGGTTCAAGTTATCTGTCAGCCCTACAACCAAATTGCCTTTCGAAATGGATAATCGAGCTTTTATGCTCACCGTGAAGTGTCCAATTTTACTAAAGGCAGAGATAATTCAGAATTCAGCTATGCAGTGAAATAAATAAAAAAATGTCGATTATTTTATGTATGTCAGAAATGAAATATATTCTACAAATTATAATTTGACTGATTTTGTCTGCTACCATGCGCTTTCATGAATGATTTCAAATACATCCCATTGCTTATCATACATTCTAACGGCAAACCTCGGTTCAATAAAGAATGCGAGCAAGCCGTCGCCTCCAAAAATCTCGCCTAATGGCAGTGGCGTGAAAATCCCAGTACCGAAAACCAAGTTCGTTGCAAACTTAGAATTATTGAAAGAAAAAAAATCCACAATCAGAAAATTTGGAATAAACTGCTTATCAATACCAATGGGTCTAGATTCTTTGGCCAGTAGCTGGAGCTGTCAATTAAAACTTTACTAAATTCACAATTCCAAACACAACCAGATGGTTCAATTGCAACAACAGCCATAAAAAATCAAATCTACTAGCTGAACAATTTGAATTCCTCTCCACTATTTCCACAATAGAATAGAATCTACAATGCCGGAAATTACTATTCGACAACGTCTAGTAAGGCGTGTCACTAAAATACCCATTTATTAGTGGACTGGAATTGGAAATCACAAGATATCCACAATATTTATATTCCCAAGATAAGATTTACAACAGATTTCCTCAACAGAGGAATAATGTATCGAATGTCCTGTTTATCGACACACTCCTACATATTTAGAAGGCGCGATAGTTTTAATTTTGTAATTGATCCCAAAAAAGTAATTCAGATTGTTCATTGTGGATATCGTATCTGTGCTGACCCACGGTGTGAAATGACAGCCAACACTTCACACTAAACACTTTATTTACTTTTCAATACTCACAATAAAGCCCAACTGAATACCAAGTATGTGTACCCGCTCGATGCTCCATTCATACTGATCCAGTCACCTTCTGATTATCCAATCTTCACACGAATCAACACTAAGCTGTGGTGTCGGTACGCTGCTACATTACGTCTTTTTTATCAGCTTCAATTGCCCTATCCTAGGAGGAAGTTTATTCCACATGAACGCAGTTCTTCAAATGAAAGAGTTCTCAAACAGTGATGTTCTAGGTGTACTGAGTTGAACCTCGAAATGATTAGCAGCTACAGTTCGTCGCGTATTTCTGATATGTACCGCTCTTGGTGGAATCAAATATGCCAAGTCATTAGAACACCTCCCAGAAAGTATCTATAAAAGAGAGACAAATGTCCAGACTATCAAGGTTCCAAGTGATGTCTGTATCTCCACTCAGTCGGGTGGCTCTTTTCTGGATGGAATCCAGCAGCTTCAGGATATACTTAGGGGCAAAGCGCCATACATGAGAAGGTCTGATCTGAGCTTTATAGAGCATCAAAAGTTGCTATGTCGTGTACAGTTTTCTAGATCGGAGCAGTGTTCGAAGTTTTTGAGAAGCAGCCCTTGCAATTCCTGCGATATGTTTGTGTCGAGACATATTTTTCCATTTCAACCCCCAACAAATTTATCGAAACAGAAAGCGGAATTGTCTGTCTTGACATTATAATATGCGGTTAGTAGACACTCATCTTCTTGAAGAAAACCGATGCCTGTGTTTTCGTGGCTCTGAATTGAACCTGATTACTTTTACCTCAATTCGGAATCACCTCTAGTTACTCATTAAAATATGCAACCTCCTGCTGCCGGTAAAGATGTGCATCCGCAGACGATCTCCTGGAATCCAAATGGAATGACGAAACAAGTAGTTGATATACAATGAAGAGAGGATTGGAAACAATATGGATCTCTGGGGAACACCAGATTCGCTGGTGAAAGTATTCAAGAGATATCCATCGACGGCCACTTGCAGGGATCGTTTTTTTAGCAAATTGGATGCCATACACAAAAATGATTCGACAAGCCATGGCATCGAAGTTTGGCCAGCAGACCCTCATGTCACACACAGTCAAATGCTTTAGAAATATCAAGCGCAACAGCTCTTGACTCATGTAGCGTTATTTCAAATATGGTAATATACGATAGACGGTCGCATATTGATCATTGATTCTGAAAGCCATATTGATAATTGATCAAGATGTTGAAACCTTCCAAACATTGAAGAATATGGTAGTTTATGGCTTTTTCTATGATTTTTGTTACTGATAGATTGAACGTGAGCAATCTTCCAACAAGAAGAAAAAACCCCTTCCTTTTAAAACAGGTTGAAAAGTCTGCAAATTACTGGTGCGAGTTCATTGGCATACTATCCAAGTACGATGTCGGGTACAGCATTAGAACCAGACGCCATGTTGATATTAAGTTTTTTCAAAGTTTGCCTGACTAAACATTTTCGAGAAGTAATTTCCGGCATTGTGGATACTAGTGTGGGGATAGTTGATGGTGATGGTGGAATGCTAATTGTATAATTGGTTTTTCTTTGGCTGTTGTTGCAACATCCGCTTGTGTTCATGATAGAATTGTGGATTTTGTAATATTTTCCATCAACAGCTTCACCTACCGACCAGAAGGATCTATACCCGTTGGGTGGGTGAAGTTCTTTGCTATCATTTATTTCAAGTTTGCAGCTGTCAGGAGCATTACTGAACCAAGTTCGCCAAGGTGGTGGAATTTGTGTTGATGAATTGTCTTAGAGAAAAAACTTTTGAATCAAAACTACCCGAATTCTAAAAAGCCCATGTCTCCAGAAAATATTTTCAGAAGGAGTGTACCTATATCTAACCATTAGAATAGATTGATGGATGACGTTTCACAGGTACTAAGAGACAATCAGATATTTTACATAGATATATTAACAAAATTCATAAAAATAACAAATTCACTATTGAAGTAGAAGCAGACAATTCAAAATCAATCAATTTCGTGGACTTGACAAATGGTAGAAATAAAAACAAACATGATTTTTCAATTTATAAGCAACCTTCTAATACGGATAATATTATTCATTGCATTTCTACCCAACCATATCAACACAAAATAGCATGATTCATAGATGAGTTAACGTTTCTCTCCCGAAACATAATTTCAATAAAGAACTAGATATCATTGAGCAGATTGCAGCGGCTTCAAAGCTGAATTAATAGACGAAATACTTTCCAAAAAAGTCTACGCAAAAGCGATTCGAGACATTTTCTCTATTGAAATTGCATATAGAACAAGTAATACGTTCAGGAGTAAATAAATTGAATTGTGGAACTGAACCTAAAGTATATATTGGACAAACCGGCAGAACATTTAGAAATAGCATCCAGCAATATCTAGTTAGCTATGTGAGCAAGAAAATAAGTTCAACATATATCGAAATCATCTTTTAGAAGAAAATCATATTTCTAACGAAGATTTCGAAATTTTGAACATGTAAATTGAAGGTTAGAAGCTGAATCATTTTTAAACAATGGATATTAATAAATCCAAGAATCCAAACATTTTACTGAATGACCAACTGAATTTGAATAGATTACCATTACTGAGCTTCCTTAGAAACCGATTTTATGCTATTCTTTGAAGACACATTATTATTGATGTAGAAGCAATGAAATACGATTGAGTAGATGCTCTATGTCAGGGGTCGGCCAGTCTAGAACAACGCGACAGCGACGGAACTATTCTAGGAAAGAGAAGAAGCGAAAAGGTGACGGGAAATTTCTAGGAGGCGGATTTACCATTAAATAAGCGTAGTACGCTGGACAAGCTTTAAGTTTGTCGCCTACATGTCCAGCACAGCACAGCACAGCACGGCGCTGTCCGTCGCCTAATGACGACGGGAAGTAGCATCGCCCACATGTCCAGTTATAACCAGCATACTGAAAATGCTGCTTGTTCGATTTCAAGGGAATTTCAGTTGACATCGAGCGGTGACAGAAACATGTCTATTACTAGCAGTTTTGATGAAGAAGTCGTCATTATACTGGCCGCGTTATTGAATGTAGAAGAAAATAGTCACAAAAAAGAAGGATGTGGGTCTATTCCATTTATCGAAAGAGGGCAGATCTGGGAGAGTTTCATCATCTTTTCAACGACCTGAAAAAAAATGAGAAGTTTTTTTAGTATTTCCGAATGACTCCAGGCAAATTTTCAGAACTTCTGGATATTCTAGAGCCTGCCTCAACAAGCAACTCCATTTTTTCTCGTCCATTTTCAAAGGTACCGTCTGACAGCCAGAGGAAACTTCCCAGGCACCTTTGGACAAGTTGATGCTTACAAGCGCTGGCCGGCGACGCGCACACTTGGCCAGTCCGTCACAACACGTACCGTTACTTGCCGGAAAGGATCGGAGAACTGAAATCCTTTCCGGTGACGCTCTTGGCTGACGGGACGGGCCGTGTTGTGCCGGACAAGTGGGCGACAAGCTTCACTGAAATGGTTGAAAAATATGAAAACAACAGTGTCGACCTTAATGACATTTCCCAGTTGGCAATCGTTGCGCGTTACTTTGACAATAACTGAGTCTATTGAGAACTTGATATGTCTGCCTCCATTAGAAGGAACGTCAAGAGGCGAAGATATATTATCAGAATTCGCCAAACATAAACAGAAACTGGGACTAGACCTAACTAAGATTTTTTGCGTAACTACAGATGGAGCACCCACTATGTTCAAGACACATAATGTATTTGTATCTCTTCTTGCTGCTCGCATTGGTCGACCACATTTAAAATTCATCAAGATTTTATGAGCGCAGATATCGAGCGGAAGCTTAAAATCCGTGATGAATACAATTGTTGAAGTTTTCAACCACATTGCTGGTCGTTCTCCATTAACTCACAGACAATTCAAGTCATGAAAAGTGCATATTCAGATATTCCATTACACAGCAAAATAGGCTGGCTCAGCCTCGGTGAAGTGCTTTCTAGATTTGTGGAATGATTGGGAGAAATTAGGTCATTTTTGCTGCAAAAAATCAGGCTTGAGTCTTTCCTGAACTAGATAATAAAGAATGGATTTGTTAGATTAAGTTCCCAACTGATTTTATTTTTTTCAAGATTGCCGACCCCTGCTCTGAGTAATAATGATTGAATATATACCTGTCCAGGTAGTTCCTAGTGGTGATTATGTGGGATATATAATAGTTGAGAGTGAAGAATTAATTTTTGGTATGT